GGTTTTATCAAAAGATTCAAGAATTTAAGAGCAAACTTAATAGTAAATTTGAAGGATTTAAGGATTTAAGATCAAAATGGCCAATCAAAATGGCCAATCAAAATGGCCAATAATGGTCAATCAATGGCCAATCAAAATGGCCAATCAAAAAGAATCAAAATGGCCAATCAATGGCCAATCAAAATGAATAAAAATGGCCAATCAATGGCCAATCAATGGCCAATCAATGGCCAATCAATGGCCAATCAATGGCCAATCAAAAAGAATCAAAATGGTCAATCAAAATGGCCAATCAATGGCCAATCAATAGCCAATCAAAATGGCCAATCAGAAAGAATCAAAATGGCCAATCAAAAAGAATCAAAATGGTCAATCAAAATGGTCAATCAAAATGGCCAATCAATGGCCAATCAAAATGGCCAATCAAAAAGAATCAAAATGGTCAATCAAAATGGCCAATCAATGGCCAATCAATAGCCAATCAAAATGGCCAATCAGAAAGAATCAAAATTCTAAATGGCCTAATTGATAGTCAGATTCAAGGACATGAGATCAAAATTCAAGAATCTAATGTAAAAATGTCCCCAAATGTTCTCGTCGTTTTTACGATTCACATTTAAGCAATGTTTGACAAGAAAAAAAACACGTTTTCATGGCCTAATTTCTAAATGCAATTTTAGGCGTGAATAAGAGAGAAAAGTGGAAGTGAATGTGAAAGTAAAAGTAAAAGTTTTCCATGTTTTATCACGTTTACATTTTTATAGCATGCCCTGGGCCTGAAAATTCATCCGCAAAATTGCTCTGTAGCTTTTGAAGCTTTTGAAATAGCTTTTGAATCATTAATTTCAGGAGTTTTTTTAGTTATTGACAAAAAGATTTGGCAATTATTAGTGAATGGAAATGAGCTGAAAGGAAATTAAAGCCAATTAAGCTAAACAAACAATCAATGATCAACTTTTATCCAAGCGGGGTTTAGAGAAAGCTTTATTCGGAGCAGTCTAGTCAAGAAAATGGTTGTTGAATGAGATTTGGATGGTTTAGAAGAATGAGAATGAGATTTGGATGATTTAGAAGAATGAGAATGAGATTTGGATGGTTTAGAAGAATCAGAATGAGATTTGGATGGTTTAGAAGAATGAGAATGAGATTTGGATGATTTAGAAGAATGAGAATGAGATTTGGATGGTTTAGAAGAATAAGGATGAGATTTGGATGGTTTAGAAGAATGAGAATGAGATCCTTTCCTCAAAACGCTCATAAACAACGAAGGAGGAGGTGCAAAGGCCGAAGTGCAAAGGCCGAAAGGGTTTCTCTCCCTAGGGGATGGTCTCCCATATCCAGCACCCTACCCGATCCTCTATTTAAATCCCCTTTTATCTTCGGATATTCGGATTTCATTGAGATACCCATCAATCCACCAATCCACAAATCCATTCCTCATTCCATTCCATTCAATTCCATTCAATTCCATTCCATTCCAATTTATCGCAATTCTCTCCCCGGGGTTGTTAAACAATAATTAATCTTTAAGTGAACTGTAAAAACATTAGTGATCATTAATTGCAAATGTCAGACTCTTTGTTCTTTTGGCGTGATGATCGACTGGTTAAGAGCCTCATAACCAGTTATGGAATTGTTTCAACTTACCACCAATTCTGGATTTAGCTATTTAGTTAGCTCACCCCTAGTTAGCTCACCCCTAGTTAGCTCACCCCTAGTTAGCTCACCCCTAGTTAGCTCACCCCTAGTTAGCTCACCCCTAGTTAGCTCACTCCTAGTTAGCTCACTCCTAGTTAGCTCACCCCTAGTAGAGCCACTCAAAGAAAACCACACAAAGGTTAGGAACTTATTGAGCTTGTCATTTGTCTTTGAAGCTTTTGTTGTTGAAACAATTATTGAAACAATTATTGAAACAACATTTATTGGACAATAAACATTTATTTTATACTTTAAAAACATCTTAATACTCACAAGAAACGTTTTTTATACTTGTGAAAAGAAAAGGGAAAAATTTGGCGGTAACCGGAATTGAACCCGCAACCAAAATCGGCATCGGTTTCAGAGTCTAGCACACTATCCCCTAGGTTGCCGCTGCTTCAGTTGAGCCCCGGCCTGGCGCCCTTTTATAGGTGAGCTCGCGTCGATTTTGTCGAAAAATCGTCAAAACTTTGGAGACGTTTTTGTCGAAAACCAGAGCTTATAAAGAAAAAATCAAAAATAGTCAAGTCAACTAAGGCTCAGTCAGATAGAGGCTTGCTCAGCTTTTGCTCAGTCAGATAAAGGCTCAGTCAACTAAGGCTCAGTCAGATAAAGGCTCAGTCAACTAAGGCTCAGTCAGATAAAGGCTCAGTCAACTAAGGCTCAGTCAGATAAAGGCTCAGTCAACTAAGGCTCAGTCAGATAAAGGCTCAGTCAACTAAGGCTCAGTCAGATAAAGGCTCAGTCAACTAAGGCTCAGTCAGATAAAGGCTCAGTCAACTAAGGCTCAGTCAGATAAAGGCTCAGTCAACTAAGGCTCAGTCAGATAAAGGCTCAGTCAACTAAGGCTCAGTCAGATAAAGGCTCAGTCAACTAAGGCTCAGTCAGATAAAGGCTCAGTCAACTAAGGCTCAGTCAGATAAAGGCTCAGTCAACTAAGGCTCAGTCAGATAAAGGCTCAGTCAACTAAGGCTCAGTCAGATAAAGGCTCAAATTTCTAGTTACAACTGATCGCAAGCTTTCCCTAAATAAGGGTATTTAGGGAAAGCTTGCTATCAGTTGTAACTGGAAATTTGAGTCTTTATCTGATTGAGCCTTAGTTGACTGAGCCTTAGTTTACTGAGCTTTTATCTGACTGAGCCTTTATCTGACTGAGCTTTTATCTGACTGAGCCGTAGTTGACTGAGCCAAGGCTGAGCAAGCCTCTATCTGACTGAGCCTTAGTTGACTTAGTTGAGAAAATAAGTTCGCTCATGAGTAAAACAAGTGAAATGAATGTAATTTTAATTAAAGTAAAAGCGTTTTTATTCGAATCAAGAATGTGAAGCTGAAAATTGTAACAAAAAAAGGTTTTTGGAGGTCGGAATGTCTGTAAGAAGGTCAAGTGACACAAAAAAAAATCCTATTCTCGTTTTTCTAGAGCAAACATAGCCTTCAACGTTCTCCACCTCTGCAAATCTAATGACTGTTTTGACAAATGACAATGACAAACGACAAAAGCCAAAATGATTTAGTAAAACAACAAACAAAATGATAATAGTAGTTGAGTCAAACAGTTTGAGTTAGTCCTGTTTGAGTCAAGTCAGCCAAATCGACTCAGCCAAATCGACTCAGCTAAATCGACTCAGTCAAATCGACTCAGCTAAATCGACTCAGCCAAATCGACTCAGCCAAATCGACTCAGTCAAATCGACTCAGTCAAATCGACTCAGTCAATTTACGTTTGCTCGGACAAAAGGAAAACGTCATCAATCAAAAGAGCAGGTGTAGCGAAGGATGAGGCTTTAAAAGAGGCAATTTCATGGTTCAAGGAGCGGTGAAGCCGAAATACTCCGATTAGCGACCAAATTCTTCGTGAGAAGGCTGTTGCAAAATGCTTTGGAAAAAAAAAGCGATTTTAAAGCAAGAGAAGGATGGTTGTCGTCTTTCAAGAAGCGCAACTCGATTGTTGTCGATTGTTTAGGTTCTCATTCGGTTCCGATTAGGTTCTCATTCGATTCCCATTAAGTTCCGCTTAGGCTCTCATTCGGTTCCGATCAGGTTCCGATCCGATTCCGATTAAGTTCCGATCAGGCTTCCATTTCAATTCTCCAATTTTATCCAATTAGGTTTCCATGGGATTCCAATCAGGTTCTCATTCGGTTCCGATCAGGTTCTCCTTTGGTTCCGACTAGGTTCCCATTGGGTTCCGATTAGGTTCCGATTCCGATTAGGTTCCGATTAGGCTTCCATTCCAATTCTCCAATTTTATCCAATTAGGTTTCCATTGGGCTCCGATCGGGTTCTCATTCGGTTCCGGTCCGGTTCCGATTAGGCTCTCATTCGGTTCTGATCAGGTTCTCCTTTGGTTCCGATTCGGTTCTCATTGTGTTTAAGTTTAAGGTTTAAGGGGTTTAAGGGGTTTAAGGGGTTTAAGAAGCAGGTTTAAAGAGCAGCGCAGCGCCGAGCAGCGCCGAAATACTTTGATTAGCCGAATCCTTCGTGAGAAGGTCCTTGCTCTTGCAAAATGCTTTGGAAATACCATGCCTATATTGGAAAGAAGATTTGTAGCTTTTAAATGATATTTGTAGCTTTTAAATGAGATTTGTAGCTTTCAAATGATATTTGTAGCTTTTAAATGATATTTTCAACACCAAAATAATCTTGATTGCCTATCGAGAATCTCGATTTCCTTTTTTTGATTTAGCTTCAATAGTTTTGCATATTTTGTCGAATAATAAACTGTTTACCTGCTTCATTTATCAATATTTTTATTAAGAAACAACCAGAAAAACAAAAAGGCACAGAGAATCATTGAAAAAAAGAAAACAATAACTTATGACCGGAACCGTATAAATTAACATTTAAAGAAGCCTAGAGAGATTGATACTCGTCAAAAAAAACGAAATGGAATGTTTCACTTTCAACAAAATTTGGCTAATCTTTAGCAAGAATGTATTTGGTAAAGAATTTGATAGTCAGATAACTGTTAGATAACTGTCAGATCAATTTGACTGTCAGATAACTGTCAGATTACTGTCAGATGAATTTGACTGTCAGATAACTGTCTGATAACTGTCAGATAACTGTCAGATAACTATCAGATAACTCTCAGATAACTCTCAGTTAAATTTGCCTATCAAATAACAAAACTGTGAAGCTGCCAGATAACAAAATCGTGAAACAAACCAAAATTTTGGGGGTACATCTCGAAAAACCCATATATTAGATCAAAGTGGAAATTGAAATTGAAGAGAAAAGTTATGTAGTGAGGTGTTTGGAGGATTTTTCTTTGGGAAAATCATTTGGGAAGATATCGTTTAGAGTTCATCAGTGGACTTCTTGGTCTTCTTTCCGTTCTTGTCGTATCCCTTAAGGCCGTCGGTGGAGTGAGCGGCGATGAATTTGACGAAATCCTTCACTTCGCGACCTCCGTTATAGGGGACTGGGTTCTGCTTGTCGTTCTTGGGAAGCCAGAAGAGGGTGGGGAATCTGAAAAAGTCATTGTTTTATTGCCAGAAGTTTATTGTCAGAAGACTATGGCATTGAGATCAGGGTTATTTTAAAAGCAATTCCTTAGGCTAAACCAGACCTAAGCCTAAGCCTAAGCCTGAGCTCCGGGAACCGGCTGAGATCCAGAAAATGGGGGTTCAGCCCAAACCCAAATAGACTTAGTGCGAGGCGCTAGCCTTCGCACTAAGTCCAAACCAAAGCCAAAGCCTTATCCGGCTCTAGGAAATCCTGCCATACTTGTCATAATAGAGCTTGAAGGATACAAATACTTCAAGGATTTGTTTCTAGAAGGATTTGTTTCTAGAAAGATTGTTTCTAGATGGATTTGTTTCTGTCTTTGCTCCTTGTTTCTTTGTCAATCTTTTGAATTCTTTCAACTCTCCTCACCCCTTGACGTTGAAGAGTGGTGGGACATCATTAGCGGTGGCGTCCATCTTAGCGATGATCACGTCCTCTTCAGCTAGTTTGTCAGCAAGTTCCTCATACTTGGGTGCAAGGGTTTTGCAGTGTCCACACCATGGAGCATAGAACTCGATAAGAGCATCTTTGTCAGCATCAATGATCAGCTCTTTGAAGTTTCTTCCGACAGCCACCTAGAGTTGAAAACCTTGTTGAAAGTCGAGTTCAATTCCTAATCTCAAAGCTGTGCCGTAACTCTTGCTGTATCTGGTTAACTCTAGAACTATCTGGTTAACTCTAGAACTATCTGGTTAACTCTAGAACTATCTGGTTGACTCTAGAACTATCTGGTTAACTCTAGAACTATCTGGTTAACTCTAGAACTATCTGGTTAACTCTAGAACTATCTGGTTAACTCTAGAACTATCTGGTTAACTCTAGAACTATCTGGTTAACTCTAGAACTATCTGGTTAACTCTAGAACTATCTGGTTAACTCTAGAACTATCTGGTTAACTCTAGAAAGTCCGCACACTAAAGTAATACTTAATCTCTGCCTACCGTATTCTGTAAATATCAATGCTTTAACAAACCTTCAAGTTTTCTTGATTGTCTGGGATTGGCTCGGACTTCATGTCTGAAAAAACTCTCTTTCTTTCTTTCTTTCTTTCTTTTTAAGCAATCTCTTTCTCTTCTTTACTTCTTTAAACTTCTAGATTAGAAGAAAAGTGACTAGAAAACCAAAAAAAGCTTAACATAAAACCTACATGATTGCAATTTTCCGGCAAGAAGGTCATCAACGAACTCCTTCAAGTTCTCAATGCTAAAAAAACATTTATAACAATTTCTTATTCATCAACAGACCTGAATGGCTTATCCATTGGGAATTTTCCCTCGCTTGTTTGAGCGGCAACGAGTGGTTTATCGGATTCTTTTCGATCAGCAAGTCCATGCTCATCGATCTCGCTCGAGAACTCCTCCTTGTTCGAAACAGCGAAGTGAACCTGAGATTTGGATTTGAAGTTAGGAAAACGAAAGTTACCTTTCTCTTGTAATCTTGGGCAACTTTGAGCACACGGTTGCGCCAATAGTTTGATCCCTTTGGGTCCTTGACGTAGTCGACGTTGTAGTAGACGGTGACCAATGGTTTGCTCTCGAATTGGAAAAGGTTTCCTTGGGTGCGAACGCCGGCGAGACCGTTGCTAAAGAGATATATTGTGGACTGGTCAAGGCTGGCAGTCAGGCTCAAGGCTGGCAGTCAAGACTGGCAGTTAAATCTGGCAGTCAGCCTCAAGGCTGGCAGTCAAGACTGGCAGTCAAATCTGGCAGTCAAATCTGGCAGTCAAGGCTGGCTCTTCCCTAAGCAATATACACTATATCGACTAGACTTATAACGAAAACCTCTGCTTTTCTTGCCGTTGGCAGTTTAAGGTTTTTTGTGTTTTTCTCAGCACCAACCCTTCGATTTTGACTATCATTCGACGCAGAAGAAAATTACGCGTCGATTGATACCAAAATCAACTCAAAATATAATATCCCTGCAAAGTTATGAGGCAAAAGGTTAAGTCCCGCTCATTAACTAGTAGTAAGATTTTTGTGGGTATTCCACTATTGATCTATTCATCTATTGATTGATCTCTTCATCTAATAGTAAGCGCTCAACTTGAGATCTTGAGATTTACAGCTCAAGATCAACTTGAGCTGTAAATCTCACCACCTGACCCCAGAAGTGGGTCACAAAAGACGACCATAAGCGACCAGAGCGGCTCACAAGAGTCTAGCAAACCCACATTTATTCAAATGTCGATAAACCTTTGGATCTTTTCCAAATCACCGGACAACAAGATTCACCCCCAATAATTCTATGATATTAAGGGAAGACGATTTTCTAGAGCTGTATTTCAATCAGCACTTACGTTTCATGAACAAGGAAGTTCTTGATCTTGTCAGTGTCATAGTTTCCGTCGTATTTGAACTCATTAGGCTCGAATTTGTTCTGGAGTTTCTTCGGTGGATAGACGACGATGTCACTGAAAGTGATTTGGATTAGAATTGATCTGGCAATGTCAATCAGGAGTCAATCAGGGTCAATGTCATTCAATCAGGAGTCAATCAGTGAGTTTAACATTGATGTGTTTATCTTTAACGTCTTAGCTTCATCTGGTTTAGATAAACAACTAAACAACTAAACAACTAAACGGCTAAACAGCTAAACAGCTAAACAGCTAGACAGCTAAACAGCTAAACAACTAAACAACCAAACAGCTAAACAGCTAGACAGCTAAACAACTAAACAACTAAACAACTAAACAACTAAACAGCTAAACAGCTAAACAGCTAGACAGCTAAACAGCTAAACAGCTAAACAGCTAAACAGCTCCGAAACTCACTCAGTGAATCCAGCCTTCTCGAGGACAGCCTTAACAGACGTGTATCCAAAACGGAAACGATCACGCTCAGTGTCAGCAACTTTCAAAAACGAGTCCTTCAATTTGCTCTCACCCTCGAAGAAGCCTGAAATCATATTGTTATTGGACTTGATGATGACTTGATGATGACTTAATGATGATGATGATGAAGTTTTTAACTCACCAATCACAGCGTTATCATCTTGACTCAAGAACTTGTCAAAGTCGGCTTGCGAGGTGAGCTCACGAGCTGATGGTCCGGATTGTCCGCGCATGTATCTAAATGACAACGGAAATGATAATGGTTTTATGAAATCTATTCTATTTGTTCTGATTTTCTATGTGTTCTGATTTTATATGTTTTATTGTGTTAAGTGATAATGTTAATGATGTGTTAGTGATCGGCTGATATGTTCTAGAAAAGCTTGCACGTACTTGATGATTCCATCAGCCTCACGGGGTCCATCGTAGTCTGAAAAGTTACCGTAATCATTTGCTAATTAGACAGAAAAGTTACTGTAGTCATTTGCTAATTACACTGAAAAGCTACCGTAATAATTTTCTAATTAGTCTGAAAAGTTACCGTAATCATTTTCTAATTAATTCCTGTCAAATCTGAATCAACCTATCCGAAAACAGAACCAGCCAGCCTTTCTGGACTTTCTAGAAACTAGGAAATGGTTTAAAAAGACTACGAAACTTTCCGTTCTATAGAATTTCTAAAGATTTTCGTTCTAATAACAGTTTTAAAGCTGTATTGCGCTATAAAATTTACTACGAGACTTTCCAATGGCGGATCGTTGTTTATTTACCATCGAATTTCAAAGTATTGTAGCCTATTTTGTACCTATTTTGTAGCAAAATTTTTCGCTGATTCCGAAAACCGTATTTTCTCTAATATTAGTGCACCGTGAGCGTCGCCAGGGCTCACGTCGCCTAAATTGCTCGAAATCTCGAGAACCGCTTATCAGAACCTATCGATGTGGGATCAGAAAATATAGCTGACGATGAGATCTAGTGGGGGATTAGAACATTGAGCTTCTGGGAAAACTTTGGAAGCCGTAAAATAGCCATCAACTCGGCTCGCCTGGATGCACTACTATTAGAGAAAATGCGGTTTTCATAACAAAATCTTCTGCACAAACCTTGCGAGACTTCTCCGTTGCGGAAGATCTTCAATGTTGGGAATCCTTGGACGCCGAACTTGTCACAAGTTTCCTTATCAATGGTGCAATCGACTTTGATCAGGGCAATTGGTGGATCATTGGCCTTCAGCTTGGTAGCGGCTTTCTCGTATTCTGGAGCCATTCGCTTGCAGTGTCCACACCATGGAGCGTAGAACTTGACGAGAGCCACCTCGTGTTGCTTGATCCCGTCATCCCAGCTTGAATCCCCGTAAACGATTACGTCGTCAGACGCGTAGACGGAGAGAAGGAGCAACGCTCCAACAAGGAACAGTTTCATGATTACCTGGAAATCGAGTTGATTGAGAGTTTTGATTCACTTAAAAACGATAAAATGAGATAATGGGCTTGTAAGATGTAAGATGTAAGAGGCTTTAATGTGCTGAAAGAAATTTCGAATCAAAGTTCGGAGTTTGGAGTCTCTTTGACCTCGAGATACTCAGCAACGGGGTCACTCTCTTGGAAGTGACCTCTTTGTCAGAGTATTTTGAAAGTTGTCTTTGATCTCAAGATATTGTGGATTTTTGAATTTTCAAGATATTCAGCTATCGTATTCTTTAAATACGGTAGCTGAATATCTTGAGATCCTCTAATAAACGCCCCCGTCCTCGACCAACTTTCAACGCCTTGTTCTCAGCCCCACTTTGAGATATTTTTATGTTTAATATACCAAAAGATAGCCCTTAATGTCTTCTATCTTTTGGTATATTAAACATCAAAATCTCTTAAAATAAGGCTGAGAATAAAGCGTTGAAAGTTGGTGGGGGTAGGGGTCGAAGGGGCGAAGGTCGAGGGGGGGTCAAGCGCCAACTTTAGACACGGCTCGTTCTCAGCTCTATTTTAAGAGATTTTGATGTTTAATATACCAAAAGATAGCCCTTAATGTCTTCTATCTTTTGGTATATTAAACATCAAAATCTCTTAAAATAGGGCTGAGAACGAGCCGTCTAAAGTTGGTCGAGGAATGGGGACGTTTATTAGAAGAAATAGGGTAACTAATAGAAGCCTAAAGCTTTTATAAATTAAACGCTAGTTCTTGAATATCACAAAATTTGCGTTTAACGTAAAAATTCAAGGGAAATGAAGCCGTTAGCTGAATATCTTTAACTTTTCCTGTAACAGTAAAGATATTCAGCTAACGGACACATCACTAGGGAAGCAGTGAACAAAAACGATCAACAAAATCAAGAAAATCAGCAAAAAATCTTCAAAGTATCAGTATAAAAGCTCAAAAAAAAGACAAAAATCTCGTCTACATTGGCGGAAATGAAGTATAACACAGAGAAAGCGACCTAATATGGTTGTCGGGAGCGCACATATTTCTATAAAGGCGTTTAGGACGTGGACATTCAATTTGTGTGGAACGCGGTGATTGGTTGCGGGAAATAGGATGAAACGCCCACTGGCAAGACCGAATTTTCCCTGAATCACGACAATTACCGTATTCTGGTGATATCGATTCGCTTTGGCTCGTACTTTGTAGTTCCAAATTTAATGATTTAACGTTTCACAGGGATCTTCCAACTCTTTCATAACAAAAAATCATCCAGAAGTTTCACGACTTTTCCGGAAAATAATTTCATCATCGTGCTTATTGAAACGTGTCATAGATTGTTTAAAATTTGCAAAAAATTTATTTGATTTTCATTTTGAAAAAATCTATTTGATTTGATAAATTCTACTTTACATTTAATGCATTTACGGTGAAATGATAAAGCGTGCGCAAGCTAACGTATTCGACAAAAAGAATTTAACTATATAAAAAACTTTTCCTTACAGTTTAGGCAAAGATTGGCAAAGACAGCAAAGCTATTTTCCGCTATTTTATTTGCGCAACTCGCCATAACTTTATGATATTGGTTTCATTTTGTTGCACTTATTGAGATCTACAAAATGACATTAAAAACATAAAGATTGGCCGACTCAGAAGAAAGTTATGGCGAGTTGCGCAAAAAAAGTTGCGGAAACTAGCCACCCCCGAATCTAGTACCGTTTCTTTCTTCTAAGTGGACCAATCTTTATGATTTTTGTGTCATTTTGTTGCACTTATTGAGATCTACAAAATGACACAAAAATCATAAAGATTGGCCCACTTAGGAGAGTTATGGTGAGTTGCTCAAATAGTATGGCGGAAATTAGCCTACCCCGAAAGATTTTTTCTCGGCTCTGTTGGTGTTTTAGCGTCATCTCGATAAGAAACGTTGCAGTGTTTTTCGTTAACTAATAAGTTAAAGTAACAATAAGTTAAAGTAACAATAAGTAAAAGCAACAATAAGTAAAAGAAACAATAAGTAAAAGTACAATAAGTTAAAGTAACAATAAGTTCAAGTAACAATAAGTTAAAGTAACAATAAGTAAAAGTAACAATAAGTAAAAGTAACAATAAGTTAAAGTAACAATAAGTTAAAGTAACAATAAGTTAAAGTAACAATAAGTTAAAGTAACAATAAGTTAAAGTAACAATAAGTAAAAGAAACAATAAGTAAAAGTACAATAAGTTAAAGTAACAATAAGTTCAAGTAACAATAAGTTAAAGTAACAATAAGTAAAAGTAACAATAAGTAAAAGTAACAATAAGTAAAAGTAACAATAAGTAAAAGTAACAATAAGTTAAAGTAACAATAAGTTAAAGTAACAATAAGTTAAAGTAACAATAAGTTAAAGTAACAATAAGTTAAAGTAACAATAAGTAAAGTAACAATAAGTAAAGTAAGTAATGATAACTAATAAGTAAAGTAACATGACAACTCAATAACTAAAAGTACAAGTAATACTAATAAAGGATTAGCGAAATTTAATGTCCATGCTGCTGATAGTTTCTGCCTTTTCAACGAAAACTTGTAAAATGCGATCCGGTTTACCAAGAAACTTTGGCAGCTAAAGCTAAAGCTTTTTTAATTTATGAAACGTTGACTATATAGTCTATAAGCTAACAATTAATCCATCACAGATTTATCATCATTACTTGCGAAAGGCTAAACATTTTCTAATTTCCCTAATTTCCCTTGAGAAACTAATAAACTGGTCTAAGTCACTACTCATTGTCATCGCAAAGATTGTTTTCTTTAATTCTTTTATACGATCATATTTTCTTTATTCTTTATTCTTTATTCTTTTTATACGATCATTCTTGTTGTAAAACAATTCTTATTTTTAGATTAAATAATGGGAAGTGACGACGAGTCTTCGCCTAAGATCAAGCTCTCCGTGAAGACCACGACGACTTCTTATGAAATCGAGGTCCAGAAAAATGCGCAAATCAGTGAGGTGAGCAATGTTTGGTACTTTTCCAATATCGGAGGAGCGATCCGCTTATCGGGGGAGCGAAAGGAAAATCGGGGGAGCAAACTTTGGCAGCGCTACATCTGTCCTATATGATACAAACTACCGCCATAAAATCCGCGAATTACCCGTTATTCTCACAACCTTTATATTAGATCACAAAAGTGACTTAAATATCTAACACCCAGCGAAATGGATCTTTTCCCTTTGAGCGGACTTTCATCAATTCGCCACAGTTGCAAATCCGTGACTGGATGACTCCTTTAGTGACGAAATAATAGATTGCCGTCGATTCCTTGAACGCACAAATGCCGGAGAACCGCAACGTCGTTAAAGTTTTAAAAAACATTGCAGTTAAAATGCATTTTTCGAGGAGGCAAAATTTGCTCCCCCGATAATCCTTCCGCTCCCGATATTGGAAAAGTACCCAATGTTTTCTCTTGTTGCTTTTAAACTTTTAGCAATTTTAGGTCAAACAGATCCTCGGCGAGAAAGTCGGTGCCACGTCGGACAAGTTGTGCATCATCTTCTCGGGAAAAATTTTGAAGGACCCAGAAACGCTCGAAAAATATAGTGGGTTTTTGCTTTTTTGTTTTGTATAGAGTAAAAAATTTGGTAGTATTGGCTTTGGGGGGCACTTTTTTCGCCAAAAATCACTTTTCCCGGGGTAATTGAGTACTCTGAGCGCGAATCTGACATTTTTAGGGTAGATTTTTGAAATTTTGAACATTGTAGATGTGCATTTCCTCTTTTAAAGTTAATTTACGGGTTTTCATGCAAATTTGGGCTTACTTTTCGGGCTTGCTGTTGCTGTGGTTGTGCGCTTTTTGATTGACTATTATCTAAATCTAACAAATTGCAAAAAGATTCCATTAAAACGTAACAAAAAAACGAATAAACTGGTCCAAAATCACTACTCGCATTTGTAAAGTTGACAGATTTGATTCCAAAATTACAGCCTTTTCTAAATTCTTGCCGCCACATAAATTCCGGAAGGAAATCTGTATAGCGGTCATTTAATCGGCAGTTGAGGCCATGATATCACTTAATTATTTTTTAAATCAATACCAAAGGGGTTTCACATTTTGTGTGATTCGTTCACCGGATTCACGAAGTTCAGCTGATGATTAACCATTAAATGACGCTTTGTGTGGAAGTCAGAGCCTTGTGTAGCCTTGTGTGGAAGTCAGAGCATAAAAGCCGATTTTGTTCTTCTTTCCTGGTTTACGACGTGCCCTTCGATTGCAGTCCCATTTTGCTTTTTGCGCATTACTATCTCTGTACATCTTCATATCGTCCTTTCCACAACTAGAGCCAGTTCTCTTTTGATGTAATGTAAAATTCTAAAAATTGCGTTTTTGATTCAAAATCTACCGTAAAAATGTCATATTCGTGCTCAGCGTACTCAATTACCCCGGCAAAAATGGTTTTGGCGAAAAAAAGTCCCTCTCCCCAAAGCCAATAGTACCAAAAATCAATTTGTTTTACATAAATTTTTTAGACATCACCGATGGAATGTCCTTGCACTTGGTGGTCCGACAACAGGCTCAACAGGGCGGCGCCTCAGCAACGTCGACACCTACAACAAGGCCACAAAATGTAAGTGAAGGTCTAGAAATTCTCTTCTATTAGTTGGCTATTGATTTTATCAATAACTTTTCAAGTTTATACACTGGCTAAGAATTTGGTGGCGGGAAATAATTGGGTTTTTAAGTTTAGCATTTACTTAAGGCTCATTTAATACTTTTGAATTTGGTACTTTGTTAATCAGCGTTATGGCAGAATGACCTTGCTCACATAAAATATGTTGTATTTTGTGTAAGGTCGTTTAAAACGGTGCGCATATTAGTATGCTTCGGAAAAGGTTGTTAATAATTTAATCTTTTTTATTTTTAGCCTTCCGCCGCACCAAATAACCCAGCAGAGGCAGCAGCCTTCAATCAATTCAGTGCAGCAAATCCGGGAATGGGTAAGTGTTAATGTTAACATAGACTCGTTTAATTAAAACTAAACAATGAAAAAATGTACTTTTAGGAATGCAACAAATGATGGCCAATCCCGAGTTGATGCGACAAATGATGGACTCGCCAATCATGCAAGGTATCTTCAACAATCCTCAAATCTTCCAGTCGATGCTAACGTCTAATCCTCAAGTTCAACAACTGATTGAGGTTTGAATTTTCTTCAAGTTTTTCTTAATTAAATTGTTTAGCAAAACCCGGAACTTGCCCACATTCTTAACGATCCAGAAATGATCAGAAGAACGATGGAGATCGTCCGTAATCCAAATATGTTCAACGAGATGATGCGAAACCATGACATTGCCATCAGAAATTTGCAGGTGTGCCTTGCTTATTCTAAACAAGCCGTTCTTGTTTAAAAGGATTTAGCGATGAATTAGCAATTTTGGAATTCTAAACTTTACATGTTTTAGGGAATACCCGGTGGAGAAGCTGCTTTACAACGTCTCTATCAAGATGTACAAGAGCCACTTCTCAACTCAGCAGCTTCGTCATTAGGAGGAAATCCATTTGCCACTGGTGGAGCAAATAGCGCTGATAATGCAAGTGAGTGATTTTGCAGACATCAAAGTAAATAGTAAAAATTAGCATCATTAAACAATTGTAGTCAAGCAATGATTATAAAATCTTTAAAACTTAAAAATGGGTATCACCGACAGTATCCAGATTGCAAGGGAATGTTTTAGCTTCTCGATCTCAAAGGGCTGGAGTTGAAAATGCGGATCCATTGCCGAATCCATGGGCTGCTCCACAGCAGCGTGATGGTTCTGGGCAACCAAATAGCGGTCGAACAGGCTCCGCTGCTGCTCCTGGTGCAAGTGAGTTTTTGAATTAACAATTTTATAATTAATTTGCTCAACAATTGCACATATAAATTTTAGATTTGATGGGAAATCCAGCGTTGTCCGCATTGATGCAACAAATGATGCCGGGCGAGGGCAATCCTAGCGCAATGTTCAATCCGGATATGATGCAACAGTTAATGGGAAATCCACAATTCATGCAACAGGCAGCGTCTTGAATACACTATTGATAATTTTTCTTTCTTAAGATGACCGAAGCAAATTCTCTTATTGCCAACAATCCCGAATTGGCGGCTCAACTCCAACAGCGCATGCCTCAAATGATCCAAGCGGTAAGTTTTCTTTGGTGCAAAATTGTACAGTCGACTCTCTCTATAACGGAACTCTATATAGCGGAAAACTCCATATAACGGAATAGGATTTTGGTCCCGGCTGACGTTAAGCTATATATAACGGAAAAATTTTTTGGTTCCTTCCATTCCGTTATAGAGAGAGTCGACTGTATCAAAGTCTTTGGTGTAAAGTTATCTTAGATGTCGAATCCCGAGATGCAGCAAGCTATGTCGAATCCACGAGTGATCGAAGCGATGAGGCAAATCCAACAGGGCGTCGAAGTACTACGCACTGAAGCTCCATTCTTGTTAAAGTAAGTGTTGGGAGTGTTGTATACTTTAAGTAAATTTTATTTAGTGGTGACTTGATGGGCGGTGGTGGTGGTGGCCGTCCCGATGACTCGTATCGATCGATGCAACAACTTTTTAGCCGTATGGGAATGGTTTGTTGGACTTGAGAAAGTTAATATATAAATACATCTTTAGGGTAGCGCTGCCGCACCGCCTGGCGCTCCTGAAGCAAACCTGGAGCAACGGTACGCTTCACAATTGGATCAACTTGCCGGAATGGGTTTCAACAATCGTGCTGCCAACATTGCGGGTTGGTTTTTTTGTAGAAATGGTATCTAACGGATATATAATTGCCATCATAGCTTGATAAGATGAAACCAAAGATCTAAATGGCATCTTTTGAGAATTTTGTGCTTTTAAAATCAAATTTTAAGATGGATATTGGTTCTTGTTGTAAATAGTAGAAAGAACATCGAATTTCTCGAAAGAAATATCGCATTTAGCTCTACAAGCAACGTTTGGTGACGTGAACGCGGCGGTCGAGCGTCTCCTGAGCGGTCTCTGAATTAAACGATTTCTAAACCTTTGATTTTTTTCTTGTTTTCATCTCATTCTTGTACTTAATACTTATGAATTTGCCCTATCGATACGATTTCTTGGTTTTGGTTCCCTGTGTGAATTTGATTATATTTTTGGGACGTATCGATAGAGATCCAAGTTTTCCACTGTGATCGCTGAATAGCTTCTTTTTTGAAATAGTATTTTATTATTTATTGCCTCATAAATCTTTTTATAAAAATTTATTTCAGGTATAATGTTGCAGTTGAAAGTTCTATATGAAGTTACAAGTTTGACTAAAGGTAAGAAAATCATAAGGAAGAAAAGGGACGAGGTCGAAAGTGAGAAGTTTTTTTAGCTTGCGATTTCTACTCAATCACCGGAGAAAATCAAGATTTATAAAGAAAAAAAAAGCTGGTAAGAAAAGAAATTCTTGAAAATGTTAAGCTATAAACTATGATTTTACCCGTAAACATTCGACTGTGTGTTACTTGAGAAAAATTGGGATTTTCTCGCGTGTTAACTTATAATTATATCAAAGGAAACAAATGGAAATGATGGAAAAATGTTTACCGCAAGACTTGATGCTATTTTGACAACTGAAAAATGCCGAAATTCTATAGGTACGACTCTTTTACAGGTATGCGGTTCACATTTTAATGTATATATAGCCGGTTAGAATTTTGAAATTTGCATTTGAATTGAATGCAAAATGTGAAGAAACATTTGTGTATGCGAAAATAATAAAATGTGAAACGATGTGAAATAAACAAGATTGTAAAACGTGCAAAAAAAAAAAATACAAAACGAAGTTTGAAACTTTTTAATCGGCCACCACGGTATAGCTGGTGAGTTGTGTCTCGGAGGTCTGAAAATTGGATAAAATTGGATGAAATTGGATAAAATTGGATAAAATTGACTAAAATTGGATAAAATTGAATCAAATTGAATCAAATTGAATCAAATTGAATCAAATTGAATCAAATTGAATCAAATTGAATCAAATTGAATCAAATTTGAATCCCAAGAAGAAAATTCTTCTTTTTGTGCAAACTTAAACTAACCAAAGCATCAAAGAGGCTCTACTGAGAATGAGAATATTTTAGCGGCTCTACCGTAGTACCTATTTTGATTTCTAGTCCATTGAAAATCATTTATTTAAATTTCCATTTAAAACTATACATATAGATTTCCTGAAACATACGCTATTTCAGGAAATTTTATTAACAAAAGAGGGTCAAATGCTATGCGAGCTATACCATTCGACGCAGAATTTTACGCTGATTCCGAATATGTATTCCGTTTTTGCTAAATGACAATCTGACAGGAGTTATAAGCGTCTAAAGTTTGTTAGGACGCATGGTCGTTTGGGTCTTAGGGCCTGCTTAACGGCCGTCTTAGCCGCGTCCCTCGGTGCAGCAGTGGGACAAGCCTTCGTTTCCAGAACGAGACCTCACAAGTTCGATCCCAATCACTAGTCAGGATTTCAGTCACTAATCTAGTCAAGAAGACTAGTCAGCATTTCTTGAAAAGAAGCCAGACAAAAATCCAAAGTAAAATTCGAAGTGGGCATCAAACTTGTGAGGTCTCGCTCTGGAAACGAAAGCTCTACCACTCGGACACGGCTGCACGGAGAGGACGCCGTTAAGACGGCCGTTATTCTTAACGGCCCCCAAGACCCAAATGACCACAATGATCAAATGACCATTTTCAGACTCCTAACAAACTTTAAACGCTTATAATTCCTGACAGATTGTCATTTAGCAAAAACGGAATACATATTCGGAATCAGCATAAAATTCAGCGAATGTGTCTTTTATCTTAATCGGAAGGTCGAGGGTTCGAACCCCACATGCGACATGGTCACCCCCTTCGGATTTCCTTTCCCTTCGGGTTGAGAGGTTTTCTGGAGGGCAGTCTGGTGGTTGTGGCCCCAGTTCTTTAAAGTGACAAGCCACTCCTTCATCGTCATCTTCCCTTCACCACCAAAAAAGCTATTTAGTTCCCCATTGAGCTTAGGGTTAGGGAGCCGTCTGTCATGACGTGGGTTAAGTTAAGATATAGCCTAGTATTGTGTGTGTCGTTGTATTGTGATTGATATATTTCGTGTATGCGATAAATTCACCACTGGTAGCCCCAGTCGGTATTTTTAAAGAATGGTATAGCTCGCATAATCGGATTGACCGCAGTTGACCGGCTCAGCCAGTTGACCGGCTCAGCCAGTTGACCGGCTCAGCCAGTTGACCGGCTCAGCCAGTTGACCGGCTCAGCCAGTTGACCGGCTCAGCCAGTTGACCGGCTCAGCCAGTTGACCGGCTCAGCCAGTTGACCGGCTCAGCCAGTTGACCGGCTCAGCCAGTTGACCGGCTCAGCCAGTTGACCGGCTCAGCCAGTTGACCGGCTCAGCCAGTTGACCGGCTCAGCCAGTTGACCGGCTCAGCCAGTTGACCGGCTCAGCCAGTTGACCGGCTCAGCCACCTTCCCTTGTAAGTTTTCCGTGATTTCCGTGATCTCCGTGATTAAACAGGGCCAAATTGCAAAAACTCATGAAAATATTGGCAAAAATGCGTAGCTGATAAGTTAGGATGACCGACATTTCCGTTGTCTTCCACATCGTTATTTCTAGTTTCCTTCAAAGTCGACTTTCAGGAAAAGAAAAACTTTGTAACACTTGTAAAGTTGTAATTTATTTATTGCTAGCTATTTAAGCTTAATTTAAGCCTAACTAGATAAACTTTTTGCTGTTATTTCCAGCAGTTATTGTATTGTTTTTAAGCTTTCTAAAAGTATACACTATGTTTGTTTTCATAAAACTCACAGGCAAATGCACTTGGGCTTTTTGCGCCTTTTGCCGCTTGAGATCCTCGCGAATCAGAGCTGAAAATGGGGATCAGAGCTGATATTGTCTTGCTGTCTTGCTTGTTTTCGAAAACAAACAAAAAAAACTAGAATTACCAGTGAGAATGGTTCCCAAAATGAGAACCCCGATCATGACGGTGTTGCTCGTGAAAATGCCCAACCAGTGCAAAAGCGATCCGGCAGCCCATGTTAAAGCGATGCCGAAGATCTGGAGATTTTATCGTTTTTATTATTCCGATTATTTCGGATCGGATAAAATCGGATAATAAAAGCTCTATTTTCTTTGTTGAATAGAACAGTATTTAGCGTGTGAATGACGGGTAAATGCTGTAATAGTACCCCACCCCCATAATGACGGTGCGGAGCGTTGCGTAGTCTAGCCTACAGCCCCCACCCGTACAGTCGCGTAGTCGCAAAATTGTTGTTGTTGACAAGATCGTTGACAAGATCGTTGACGAGATTTTTGAAATCTATTACACTCGATGATTTACAGTGACTCGTGGAAAGCCTACAATCATCAATAACGACATCAATACATCAATATCGGAGACACCGATTACTCGACATGACGAGAGAAATACTTTTGCGGCACTCAAAGAAGAACAAAGAAGAGCTGAACCATTAAAGTTTGTTTAGAAAAACAAATTGAATACAGCGATGCTATTTTCGAGAATGCTGCCTATTCGCATGAGAAAGTTAACCGCGAATTCAACTTTTGATCCAAACATCCAAATACAAAATGATCCAAACGTCCAAATACAAATTCTGGATCATCCAAACATCCAATACTCAACGTGTCAAGCATATTTGCGGTGCGGCCAAGTGGAGAACCAAGAGAGAACCCGGGACGAGTCGTGCTTTCCTCTCAAGCCACCTCTCAAGCTACACTACTGGACAATGAAATATCATATTTGGAAAAAGATCGTCACTTTCGCGCGTCTGTAACTCCCTTATCTTTACCGTATTTCTAAATATTAATATTACCATTGTGTAGCCCTTGAAAAGAGCTTTCAGAAAATGTATAACACTAATAGTTTAAACTCAAAGACAACGGAGTTACAGACGCGCGAAAGTGACGATCGTTTTTCAAATATCATATTTCATTGTCCAGTGCTGTACCTATCGGAGTCTATTCGGTCGTTCTGTTGTTCTGTCGTCTGGCACGAAATCGGCGACGAGAATATGTACGTGAGCTGTGGATACGATACAAATGTGGATACAATTGTGGACACAAATCACTCCTCAAAATCCCCTCCAATGCAACGACAACAAAATCCCCTCCAATACTTTCTCTTTTCTTTTTGATGTCATGATCTATGGTGTGTATGTTTTTTTAAGATTTTGGATTGTCGGAAGTATAAACGAAATGGAAAGGTGGCGGCGGTAGTATCAATTTTCCTTTCAAACCTGAGCACTTGCATTGAGAAGACCAGACATTGTCCCCTCTGCACAAGGGAATGTCAACTCGGCGGCAAACTCGAAACCGATCGGCAGATAGCCTGTCATGAAGAAACTAAAAAAATAAATCTTATTTTTGACTCTTATGAACTAAATCTATAGCTACATTTAGTTACTCTATAAGGGAAAAGCAACAGTAGAATGAAGCCAAATGAGAAAAGCAACAGTAGGATGAAGCCAAATGAGAAAGACAACAGTAGAATGAAGCCAAATGAGAAAGGCAACCGTAGAATGAAGCCAAATGAGAAAGACAACAGTAGAATGAAGCCAAATGAGAAAGACAACAGTAGAATGAAGCCAAATGAGAAAGACAACAGTAGAATGAAGCCAAATGAGAAAGATAACCGTAGAATGAAGCCAAATGAGAAAGACAACAGTAGAATGAAGCCAAATGAGAAAGACAACAGTAGAATGAAGCCAAATGAGAAAGACAACAGTAGAATGAAGCCAAATGAGAAAGATAACCGTAGAATGAAGCCAAATGAGAAAGACAACAGTAGAATGAAGCCAAATGAGAAAGACAACAGTAGAATGAAGCCAAATGAGAAAGACAACAGTAGAATGAAGCCAAATGAGAAAGACAACAGTAGAATGAAGCCAAATGAGAAAGACAACAGTAGAATGAAGCCAAATGAGAAAGACAACAGTAGAATGAAGCCAAATGAGAAAGACAACAGTAGAATGAAGCCAAATGAGAAAGACAACAGTAGAATGAAGCCAAATGAGAAAGATAACCGTAGAATGAAGCCAAATGAGAAAGACAACAGTAGAATCAAGCCAAATGAGAAAGGCAACAGTAGAATCAAGCCAAATGAGAAAGGCAACAGTAGAATCAAGCCAAATGAGAAAGGCAACAGTAGAATCAAGCCAAATGAGAAAGGCAACCGTAGGATGAAGCCAAATGAAAAAGCCTTAGACTAGCCTTGTAACGAAAACATCTATCTGTTCTTTAAAGGGTTTTTGTGTCTTTCTCAGCACCGACCCTTCGATTTTGACTATTTTGACTATCATTCAATGCAGAAGAAAATTACGCGTCCATTGATACCAAAATCAACTCAAAATATAATATCCATGTAAAGTTGTTGGCTAAAAACCTAAACCCCGCTCATTATGGACTTAAAGCCTCATAACTTTGCATGGATATTATATTTTGAGTTGATTTTGGTATCAATCGACGCGTAATTTTCTTCTGCATTGAATGATAGTCAAAATAGTCAAAATCGAAGGGTTGGTGCTGAGAAAGACACGAAAAACTTTGAATTGCCAACGGCAAGAAAAGCAGATGTTTTCGTTGCAAGTTTAATATCGATCCATTATCCTCTAGCACCCCAACTTAAACCCATAATCATAATTGGGAGTAAAGAAAGTATACTGATAAAGTTTACCCTCATTATTCGGACTATCCGTCCATAATGAGGAGTTACACTAGAAGTTACACTAGAAGTTACACTAGGAGATACACTAGGAGTTACATTAGAAGTTACATTAGAAGTTACACTAGGAGATACACTAGGACTTACATTAGAAGTTACACTAGAAGTTACACTAGGAGATACACTAGGAGTTACATTAGAAGTTACACTAGGAGTTACACTAGAAGTTACACTAGAAGTTACACTAGGAGATACACTAGGAGTTACACTAGGAGTTACACTAGAAGTTACACTAGGAGATACACTAGGAGTTACATTAGAAGTTACATTAGAAGCTACACTAGACATTATTTGTTTGCTTGAGAGTCACAAGTACATCAAAATCTACTTGTAGCTCATGGCAATTCAAATTTTAAGATTAGAATCGATATTAGATTTTAAGATTCGATCCAAACGTGTTTTCAACTTCATTTTGTTCTATTAATCTTTTAATCTTTTAATGATTCATTTACAAAAACGCACCCAAGCGCAATGGCTCCTGTATAAACCATCGAAATGTCTAACTCGAGAGTGAACGTGAAAAAGACCATGCCGAGGAATGAAAAGAAGTAAACAACGAAGGTGATCAATCTGGAAATTGAAATTTGAGCTTTTTTTCTAGAGAGAAAGGTACTTGAATTTCTTGAACTTGTCCAGACACACTCCGCCGACCACCGAGCCAAACATACCGGCCAAAACCATTGCCTGAATTTTAGAAATCAGAATTGCATTGAGCTTTCTTATCAGTACAATGAGCCATAGGCCAACTGGTGCCTGGGAACATTCGGAATTAGAAAGAATCATTACTGAGGTTGCTGAAAAGTTGTGCTAATCCAAATCTTGCTTCAGTTACAGTAATTGACTGAGCCTACAAGCAAGGCCAAGGATCCAGGCCTGACAGCATGCAATAAATCTACAGTAAGGCTAAATCAGGAACTGTCCTTGACTTGCTTTGCTTGGTTTGGCTCAATCTGAAAAAAGAGACAGACAGACGGTCAAACAGACGGTCAAACAGACAGACAAACAGACAGACAAACAGACAGACAGAAAGGCAGACAGACAGACAGAAAGGCAGACAGAAAGGCAGAGAGACAGAAAGGCAGACAGAAAGGCAGAGAGACAGACAGACAGAGAAACAGACGGACAAACAGACAGACAGACAAACAGACAGACAGACAGGCAGGTAGGCAGGCCGACAGGCAGACAAACAGACAGACAAACAGACAGACAAACATACAGACAAACAGACAGACAGAAAGGCAGCTAGAAAGGCAGACAAACAGACAGACAAACAGCCAAACAGACAGACAGGCAGACAGGCAGACAGACAGAAAGGCAGACAAACAGCCAGACGGTCAAACAAACAGACATACAGACAGACAAACAGACAGACAGATACCAAACTCACCAAACCAATCCTCCCGCTCGCCTCGCTTTCTCCCGGATAAACGACTTCGATCATTTCGGCGAGAATCGTGGACACCGCATAGAAAACACCCGTATTCATACCTAGAATTCAAAAAATATTTTCAAGCCATTTGGTATTGGCTATAAGCTTGCAAAAAAACCATTTCACCCTAACAAACCAACCATAAGTCAAGAAGAGCAACAAGAATTCCTTATTCGTCAACAATTTCTTCATTGTGCCCATGAAATTGCTGTCGATCGACTGCTCGAGAGCGGTGATCTAAAAGAATTGACTTTTGAAGACAAGTATTAACAATTAGAATTCAGTATTAACAATTAGAATTAAGAATACAATTTTACAATACAATTTTCAAATCCAGTTTCTTACTTGGGCATATGAGGGCGGCATTTTGGGTCGAGCTGAGAAGACTGAAATTTGGATTTTGGAAGCTTTAGGAAGCTTTAGAAAGCTTTAGGAAGCTTTGGGAAGCTTTAGGAGGCTTTGGAAAGCTTTAGGAAGCTTTAGAAAGCTTTAGGAAGCTTTAGGAAGCTTTGGGAAGCTTTAGGAGGCTTTGGAAAGCTTTAGGAAGCTTTAGAAAGCTTTAGGAAGCTTTAGAAAGCTTTAGGAAGCTTTAGAAAGCTTTAGGAAGCTTTGGGAAGCTCTAGGAAGCTTTTGGAAGCTTTAGGAAGCTTTTAAAGCTATTTAGCTTTTAGCTATTTAACTTTTAGCTATTTAAATTACTCGAGAAGTCCTAGAGAAGCAGATGCCTATAGCTTTAGAATATGCATCAAACTCACAACAAATAATCAATGTGAAGATGATCGTGTTGAGAACAGCGGAGTAGAGGAAAAGTGACATCAAATCCTCGGCCACCTCCTCGCTTGTCCCGTTTTGGACGATCATCGGTGGAAGGACGAAACCGATTGCGATGCCCAACTGTAATCCATTGGATTTTTGAAAAGAAAAGCTGAGAAAAGCTGAGAAAAGCAGTTTCAAGTTTTCAACAGCTTCTTCAGCAGCTTCAACGAGTTTTTTTCTTAACCAACTAAACTCTTTCTGAGTCTTCTTTAAACTTTCTCTTTCTCAGAATGGAATCTCAACTGGGTGTGGTGGCCAAATGACATGAGATTCGACGCAGAATTTCACGCTGATTCCGAATCTGTTTTCTGTTTCTGCTATGGAACACGTAACTGTAGTCAAACTATGATTGTCGTAACTTGTCGTAACCGTAGTTAAACCGCTTGTCGTACCTTGTCTTAACTGTAGTCAACTATGCTTTTCTCGTCTCATCTTTTCATCGATGATTTTGTCAAAGCTGATCAATGTCACCCAATTCACATTCCCTTATGGAGTCTTCTTTTAACTAATTTTTACAAAGAGCTGTTTATCAAATGCTGTCTATCAAATGCTTTCTATCAAATGCTTTCTATCAAATGCTAATCACCTGATTTCCGAAGACTCCCGCTGCACAAGCCGTCGACACCTCATCAGCGCCAAACCATACAGCCGCTAATCGTGGTGGAGCTCCCAGGGTGAACATCTGAATACCAAATACATCTCACACTTTCACATCTCACAAACCTGTGACGCTCCGACGATTGTTTGACCGATCATCGTGATCCAGAACGCATCTGAAAGTTCGAGTGCTTGTTTTATGGAAAAATTTTGTAGTTTGTAGTATTTGTATTTTTAAATGAGTTTTTATTTACCTGGTGTTGTTGAAAATATCCTAATCCATGCACCAATGCAATTCCCAGCAGCTCCCAGTAGAATCGATAGACGAAGACCGTATTTGTCGAGAAGCCAGCTGAAAATTGGATTTTGAATTTTGTTTTATTTGTTTTATTTGTTTTATTTGTTTTATTTGTTTTATGATTTATTTGTTTTATGTTTTATTTTCATTTTTCTTGTTTGATTGCAATGATTTTATGCAAGACAAGATTTGATTTTATTACAAATTTTATTAAATTCAAGCCACGTTTAGAAAGTAACCTAAGGTCGCGTCCGTTTCCTTCCTATTTGCGTTGCTATTTTGCAATTATTCGCGTCGCATTTTTCGCCCTTTTCTCCCTTCCCGAAATGATTTTTTTTTGGTCTGCGGGTTTTTGCCTTCTTTCTGGGGGGACTTTGTTGTTTCATTTTTTGATGCGCGTGCTGTTTTTGTAATGGGTATTGTTGGTTTCGTTTCGGCATTTCGGTTCTGTACTAATAAACAGTAACGTTATAAATTCACTTTACTTTATGCTATCCTTCAGGTTTTAAATCCTGTTTAGATGACTGGTTTAACATTTTAGAGAGACTCTTACTAACATTAGAGACTGGTTTTACTAACATTTGTGTCACCATCGACGTAGTATCAATCCGATCTGTACTCTTCTCAAGAGTATTAATCTTATGTTGGATACTACGTGTTCTTGTTACGTTATAAGCGCTTTTGGGGAAACCCTTTTAACCTTTTGTGCTATTCGGCCATTCTTAAGCAGAATCATCCTCGTTGATAAGGTTAAAGCGGGTCGCACCCCAAACTCTAAACTAGTTCTAGTTCTAGTAAACTAGTTCTAGTTCTAGTAAACTAGTTCTAGTTCTAGTAAAGTAACTCATCTAGTAAACGAATCTAGAACTAATCTAGTTAAATAGTTTTTGCAATCGTCAAAAATCCAATCACAAAAATGCAATCACAAAAATGCAATCGTCAAAAAAGTCCTTGTGAAAAGTTTGCATTTGTTTGACTTTCATTTTTTTTAAATGCTAAATTGCTAAAAGAATTTTCGATCAAAATTAAGAATTTAAAATGAGAAAGCAATTTATTTTTATTTCGGAGCCGAGTCCGGAACGGAGGAGAATCCGGAACTTTTCGTAGCCGGACCACAAGGTTTCCGGACAAAAAGCCCCAGCACAGAAAGCCCCCGAGCTAAATTTTGTATATTTTTTTGCTAGTTTACCAAAATTTTGTGCTTTCTAGCTATTTTCATTATGTTTATTCCATTTTAGTTTATTCCATTATGTTTATTTCATTTATGTTTATTCCATTATATCTATTCCATTATATCTATTCCATTTCAGTCGCTTTTCGTATTCAAGAAACGTATCGATGCTTTAGATCTAGTGGCTCTTTGCCGTAAGTAATTGGCTTATTGATTTCAGTATGTATTGTATGATTAAGTATCACTGTGCATTTCTCTATGATTTCTTTCACTTTATCGTTTGAATAAAGTATTATTATATCTATTCCATTATATCTATTCTATTATGTTTATTTCATTTATTTTTATTCCATTATATCTATTCCATTATATCTATTCCATTATATCTATTCCATTATATCTATTCCATTATATCTATTCTATTATATCTATTCTATTATATCTATTCCATTATATCTATTCTATTATATCTATTCTATTATATCTATTCTATTATATCTATTCTATTATATCTATTCTATTATATCTATTCTATTATATCTATTCCATTATATCTATTCTATTATATCTATTCTATTATATCTATTCTATTATATCTATTCTATTATATCTATTCTATTATATATATTCCATTATATCTATTCCATTATATCTATTCTATTATGTTTATTCCATTTATGTTTATTCCATTTTAGTTTATTCCATTTATGTTTATTCCATTTTAGTTTATTCCATTTAAGCCTTTTTGATCACTTGCATGACTTTTATTCTTTGATTACATGCAAATTTCAATGTCTGGAAAACTAGTAACAGAATTCTATCTCAAGATCGGTTTTATTTTGGTTTAGACACGGATTCCATCCAGAGTTTCAAGGAAATGACGGGTTTAGATACACACACACACACTCAGAATTATATCTGAAGATCGGTTTCACTTTGGTATACCCTTCACAAGACTTCTATCATCGATTCCAGTCTAATGAAAAAGCGTCTTTCAGCTTTGATAGGATTTGAAATGGATAATATTGCATACTTATTTGTTTGTTTCACATTGTTGCCACTCAATCCCATCAGTCATCAGCCCCTGTCCGTTGTCTTGTCAAGAGTCAACCCCACTCAACCCCTTCTTTCATTCTTTCATTCTTTCACTCAGCTTTTCCCCCATTCCCTCACCTGAATGGACCCAAGCCTTCCCACAGTGTTTGCTTGAAATCTCATGTTCACCAGCTTGTCAACGTTTTTTTTTTCCGAATTTCCTCCTCTTCAATTTTTCACCCCCACCCATCTTTTCACGAGCTCAACAAGTCCAAATGTTTAGACAGGAACGGATCTCATGACTTGGTCAAACCTCTGATGACTTCTCTGATGACTACAACAAAATACTCTCCTTCATTCACAAGTTCAGAGTTGGGAGGAAGAGAATTGAACTCTTGAATTGAATTGAGCTTTGCACTGTAAAGTGATTGCTATTGATGGGCGTTGTTGGGCTTTTGGCGTACTTTATGATTAAACATCGAAACACACCCTTTCTAGCGCACTGAAAGCTTGTTTTCCTTTGAAAAACCGTTTGTTGAGAAAATTGAAAACCGTGCTGTGAGAAAATTGAAGAAAGTGCTCCAGAAAGGGCGCGTTGATGTGTTTGATCAAAAAGTACAGCAAAAAGATGGACAAGAGTCGACCGTTAAGTTTGAATTTCAGTTCTTACTAAAATATTCCAATGTACAAAGTATTTTGAGCTTCAAAATCTGATCTTCAGTCTAGTTTTTCGTAAACGATTAGACGCTCTTGATCTAGAGAGAGTCTAATCGATCTAGAGAGAGTCTAATCGATCTGAGAGAGTCTAATCGATCTGAGAGAGTCTAATCGATCTGAGAGAGTCTAATCGATCTGAGAGAGTCTAATCGATCTAGAGAGAGTCTAATCGATCTAGAGAGAGTCTACTCGATCTAGAGAGAGTCTAATCGATCTGAGAGAGTCTAATCGATCTAGAGAGAGTCTAATCGATCTGGGAGAGTCTAATCAATCTAAGAGAGAGTCTAATCGATCTAGAGAGAGTCTAATCGATCTGGGAGAGTCTAATCGATCTAGAGAGAGTCTAATCGATCTAGAGAGAGTCTAATCGATCTAGAGAGAGTCTAATCGATCTAGAGAGAGTCTAATCGATCTGGGAGAGTCTAATCGATCTAGGGAGAGTCTAATCGATCTAGAGAGAGTCTAATCGATCTGGGAGAGTCTAATCGATCTAGAGAGAGTCTAATCGATCTAGAGAGAGTCTAATCGATCTAGAGAGAGTCTAATCGATCTAGAGAGAGTATACTCGATCTAGAGAGAGTCTAATCGATCTAGAGAGAGTCTAATCGATCTAGAGAGAGTCTAATCGATCTAGAGAGAGTCTAATCGATCTAGAGAGAGTCTAATCGATCTAGAGAGAGTCTAATCGATCTAGAGAGAGTCTAATCGATCTAGAGAGAGTCTAATCGATCTAGAGAGAGTCTAATCGATCTAGAGAGAGTCTAATCGATCTAGAGAGAGTATACTCGATCTAGAGAGAGTCTAATCGATCTGGGAGAGTCTAATCGATCTGGGAGAGTCTCCTTGAGAACCTAATCTTTTCAAACCTCAATAGATTTGATTCGATTTTCATCTTTTCATCGAATTATTTTAATCGTTGGTAAGCTCTGTGAGAACGTTCTCAATATTTTTGCCCAAAAAGGTTTCGATCTGAGAAAGATCTAAGAAAAAAGAAGCCAACTTTAAGAAAAGGGGAAGGTTGTCGATGAAAACAAGACTAATACAAGAAAAATCGAGTTCAAATTAATAGTAAACTTTTATGTTGCTTAAATCAGCAGCTAAAGTGAGAGAATAACGCAATGCGATTACTTGATCAGATCAGTTCAGTTTTGGTTCAGATTTGGTTCAGATTTGGTTCAGATTTGGTTCATATATTGTTAAGATTTGGTTCAGATCGTCTCTTGATTCTCATAGGATTCTCTTTTACTCCAAAATTTCTCTTTTACATTGTACATTGTACATGTACATTAAAACTATGTATTGAAATCCTCAAAAACTCACTCTAACCCATCCCAAATACTTAAAGGAATTGAAAAAAAAAAGGAGATTTCTCACCTTTCTAAGGAGCTTAGCACACAAAAACTCGCATTTATTGAGTGGTGGACAGGGAATAGACCGTGAAAACACGTGTGGACGGAGTAAATACGGCTTTACGTCTATTCAACTCTCGACCTCGACCAATCTCATCGTTTCTTTTCAAAAGAAATCGGTCTTTTTTGATACTTGAAAGGCCAAGTTGGCCAAGAGTTTTCTCTCTAAAACTAGCAAACACATAGTAAAGTAAAAACTAGAAAAAGAAAGCTTCAAGGGTGAATGAATTTTGAGGTTTTGAAATTCGAAAACGATAGATTGGAGTGAAGGAGATAGGCTAGAGTTTAGCTAGAGTTTAGCTAGAGTTTAGACAAGTGTGAGACTCAAAAATCGAAGACTGGAGGACTGGAGATTGAGATCTGGAGTCCCAGTTTGAGCACTTTCTTCAAAAGAAACCCATTTTGGTGTTAATGGAAAAGTTGTAGAGAATCAAAAATAAAGCTTATATCCAAATTTTCAGAACGATTCAAAAACTGTTTTTTAAGAAATGCCAAATTTACGAATTTTCACAAAACTTGCATTTCACAAAACATTTTAAGCGAAACTACTGAGTGTATCTTTTTGGAAATTTGGCTATAAGCCTAACTTTTGATTCTCTACAACTTTTCCATTGACACCAAAATGGGTTTCTTTTGAAGAAAGTGCTCAAACTGGGACTCCAGATCTCAATCTCCAGTCCTCCAGTCCTCCATTTTTGAGTCTCACACTTGTCTCACACACAAACCAAAACCCTACTACGAAAGAGAAATCCGCAAATTGCCTGTAAAATGGGCAGAAGTCGAGGAAGAAGAAGAGGAAGCGGCAATGGGTGGGGCCAGGCGAGAAACCCGAAAGTGACCCTAAGCCCCATTTGCACCAGAAGAAGTTTATGCTCTGCGTTTTTTGGGATATGGAGGGAGTGGTGGACTGGGAGTTGCTGAATAGCAAGGAGACCGTTAATGCAATCAAATACAGTGAACAGTTGGGAAAGGTGAATGAATCCCTGGAGAAGAATAGGCCCTTCAAGTCAAAGATCGTTCTCCTCCACGACACCGCGCGCCCTCATGTTGCAAGACTGACTCGCTCTAAAATAGATAGCCTTGCTTGGGAACTTTTGGCGCATTCCTCATACAGTCCAGCTTCTTTTGATTACTATTTATTCCGGACCATGAGTAATTAGCTTGCGGGAGAACACTTCGATTCGGAAGAAGCAGTCAAAAATTGGCTTTGAAAGTTTCTCGATTCAAAACCAAAATCCTAGTACGAAAGAGGATGACTGTAACCCCGGAAATTGCCTTTAAAATGTGCAGAAGTCGTCAATAATAATGGAAATTATTTGGAATGAATTGATGGTTTTATGTTGAATAAATTTTAGTTCAAAGTCCCGCAGTTTTCAATTGACCAACCCAATACTTCGACTCATAAGTTGAGATTTAAGCGCTCTTACTATTCAGCTTTCAAAAACCGTTTGATTTGCTCAGTCATACAAAACTCGATTCAATTTAGACCTGCAAGATCAATTTTAGGTGCTAAATATAGTTTCAAACATTTTACTCTTCCCAAATTTTCTTTTCTCTATATCGAAAAACCCTAGTCCCCAAATTTTTGACAAGTTTGCTTCCATTTTGACGAGTCTAGAAGCTTTTTCCCGTTTCTTTGATAACTTAACCGTGCGTGAATCACTTTTTGGACTTTCTAGCTTCAAACATTTTACTTGACAGCTTTACAAGAGCTTTTCTCCTGTGAATTCGCATTAACAGCCACATCCGATGTCATCAAACAATTCCCAGCATTGGGGAATTGTTGTTTGAAGGGAATTTCGCGGACAATCGCTTTTCACAGTAATAAATAAATAAAACAAAAGAATTTTCGAATTCAGCGATTTTTTTGCCATTTCCATGAAAGACCCTTAGCAGTTTTCAATTCACCAACCCAATATATTCTATTTTTTCTATTCTATTCTATTTTTTTCTATAAGCTCTCCTCGCTTGTGTTCATAAAATTGGCGTTCAAAATCGGGGATGTTCTAAGGATGATTTCAGCCAATCATCTCAAAGAGAAATAGAAATAGAAATAGAAATAAAATAGAAAGAAAAGAAATCTCTTTTCCACTAAAAATGATCTCTATTTTAAAGAAAAAGACAATAAACTCAAACATTTTAATGCCCAACAAAAAAATCGGCATTAAATTCAAGTTAGATGCGCTAAATTGATGAGCTGACAAAAAGTTCAAGAGGATTTTAATCGTCAAATGAAAAGGAAGGGAAAATGTCGTAAATGACATCTGGAGAAAAGTCTAAAAACTAAAAGCTAAAAGCTAAGCTAAAAAAACAGGTTTACTGAGCAAGCAAGCAACAAGTTTTTTCTCGACACTAAACTCTGTTTTAAGTGATCTTAAAGTATGCAAAATGTAGGTAACTCTATTCTGTATTCAATAAGAATAAGAAACACTTGGAAACTTCACCGCGGAGGGGCTATTTTTGAGGTGGCGCCGTCTGTACACGGCGCTGTCTGTACACGGCGCTGTCTGTACACGGCGCTGTCTGTACACGGCGCTGTCTGTACACGGCGCTGTCTGTACACGGCGCTGTCTGTACACGGCGCTGTCTGTACACGGCGCTGTCTGTACACGGCGCTGTCTGTACACGGCGCTGTCTGTACACGGCGCTGTCTGTACACGGCGCTGTCTGTACACGGCGCTGTCTGTACACGGCGCTGTCTGTACACGGCGCTGTCTGTACACGGCGCTGTCTGTACACGGCGCTGTCTGTACACGGCGCTGTCTGTACACGGCGCTGTCTGTACACGGCGCTGTCTGTACACGGCGCTGTCTGTACACGGCGCTGTCTGTACACGGCGCTGTCTGTACACGGCGCTGTCTGTACACGGCGCTGTCTGTACACGGCGCTGTCTGTACACGGCGCTGTCTGTACACGGCGCTGTCTGTACACGGCGCTGTCTGTACACGGCGCTGTTTTGATCACCTCCCGCTCACCTTTAGTTCATGCGATAGTTAGGTGAATTTACAGGCTCAGGCTTACTTGGAGTAAGCTCAGGCTTACTTCGATCAACATTCTTTACTTGGATCAACTCACGCTGCAGGGATGAAGAAGAAGATATAGGTGAGCATGTAAACCATCGATGTCCAATTGATGGCTGCATAGGAAACACCGTAGAAATCGGAAATGATCGGCGAGATGATCGAGTAGATGATCCATTGAGCACCGTTTGAGGCTGACTGAAAAAAAAAGAAAACAAGTTTATCATTTGAACTTTATAGTTAGATTCAAGCTCTATATTTTTATGCTCTTTGATAAAAATATAGTCAAAATGGCAATTTAGCGAACTTTTCTATTTTACTCTATATCTTGACTTCCAGTAATCAGATCGACCTAAGGTTGGTTTTAAAAGAATCCTCATCAAATTTGACTAGAGAAAAGTTAAATTTGTTTTGTATATTCATGTATAAGAACATAGAGAAAATCTGTGTCAAAGTTGACCTTCCAAATGGGAGTCTCGAAGTTTGGAAACTCTTCGATTTTACTCTATATCTCGACTCTCAGTGGTCAGAACGACTTGAGGTTGGTTTTAAAATGGTCCTTATTAAATTTGGTTATAGAAAAGTGCAATTTATTTTGTATACTCATGTGTAAGAATATATAGAAAAATTGCATCAAAGTTGACCTACACACCTGCAGAAGTCAATCAACTTTGACGATCTATAACTCGAGGTATAGAAATTCAATCGACTTGTGATTGCTTTTAAAAGAATCCTCATTAAATTTGGTTATAGAAAAGTGCAATTTATTTGTACATTCATTTGTAAGAACGTAGAGAAAAACGGCTTTGAAAAGTATTGCGCAAAAGTGCCGTTTCTAGATAGTCAAAATGGCACTTTCGCGATTTTCAGCTCGACTTCCAGCAAACGGATCGACTCAAGAATGGTTTTAAAAGATTCCTCATCAAATTTGGCTTAAGAAAAGTTGAATTTATGAAACTCACGAGTAAACAGAACATGACGAGAATTGCCCATCTCTTTTTGTAGAGTCGAGTCTCGGGCACTTTCGGATTCCCTTCGATCATCACTTGTGGAGCGACTGTCGAGAAACCGTTTTGTTTCCCATTTTGAATCTAAAATTTATTCATTCTTGCAAATTTTATTTGATTGTTTCATTTGATTGTTTGATTTGTTTGGTTATTTGATTGATTTGATTTGAATCTCGTCTGAAGAAACTCGTTAGAAAAGTGATTTGATGGCTGTGTTTTCAGTTTTTTTGTGTACTTTGAGCTCAACTCTGCAAACTTATCCCCTTTCTAGCCCAAGAAGGAAAATGGGGGTTCTAGCAATTGAGAATTCTTGGATTTGGCTACTCTAGCATTTGGCTATTCTAGCTATTGGATATTCTAGCTTTTGGATATTCTAGCATTTGCCTACTCTAGCTATTGGCTACTCTAGCTTTGGCTACTCTAGCATTTGGATATTCTAGCTTTGCCTATTCTAGCTTTTGGCTACTCTAGCTATTGGCTACTCTAGCTTTTGGCTACTCTAGCTTTGCCTACTCTAGCTTTGCCTATTCTAGCTTTGGCTACTCTAGCTATTGGCTACTCTAGCTTTTGGCTACTCTAGCTTTGCCTATTCTAGCTTTGGCTACTCTAGCTATTGGCTACTCTAGCATTTGGCTATTCTAGCTTTGCCTATTCTAGCTTTGGCTACTCTAGCTTTTGGCTACTCTAGCTTTTGGCTACTCTAGCTTTGCCTATTCTAGCTTTTGGCTATTCTAGCTTTTGTCTATTCTAGCTTTTGGCTACTCTAGCTTTGCCTACTCTAGCTTTGCCTATTCTACCTTTGCCTATTCTACCTTTGCCTATTCTTACATTTTAAAAGAATGCGCCAGAAAGAGCACGTTTCTTTTGAGCTCAAAGTATTCTCGAATATTTCTCAAAAATACCCGAGCACTCACCTGTAAATCGGGCGCGTTTCTCGCCGATCCAGCGCCGGGCATTGTCTCGATTTCAACTCTCAATCAAAGCACACAGCAGAAAATGAATGAGCGAAATGGTTTGAGGTCACTTTGAGACTTGTTGAGCACTCCAAGAGGCACAAATCTTTTCCCCTTTTTTCTCTTCTCCAATTCTCAATTTCTCCTTCAGCCCCGCCCCTCGCCAACTACCGATGACGGGCCAACACAATCCTCTTTCTCTAAACGTTTTTGTTGAAAAGGGTTGTACTTGGTGTTTTAATAAAGTACTAAAGTACTTAATAAAGTACTTAAAGTTAGATACAGTTAAATCATTGATACTTTTACAATCGTTAATCATAGCGTCAGAGCTTCAGAGCTTTATAGCTTCATAGCTTCAGAGCTTCATAGCTTAAGATCTTCATAGCTTCAGAGCTACAGAGCTTTATAGCTTCATAGCTTCAGAGCTTCAGAGCTTCAGAGCTTCATAGTTTCTACAAAAAATCCTGCTTAACAGGTTTCAATCTTAGTTCAAATCTTATTTGATGATCTAGAATTAGAACGAGTTTTCGAACGAATTAGAACTAGAATTAGAACGAGTTTCGCGTTTTCTAAAAGGTGAACAATTTGGGAAAAGGTACCGTAATCTTTCTGCAGACTTTGTTCACTTAATTGTGATCTCATTTGATGTGGAATCAAACTCTGAATCGAATAGAATCGAATCTGAATTTCTAGAATCAAAATCAAATACAACAGGGAAAATCTGGAAGAATTAGATTACGGTAGCTTTTCCAATAGCTTACAAATCCAATAGTTTTTCCAAATTAGCCAGTTTTTGAGAAAAAGCAGTGTCTGTAAGGAATGAAATGAACGCATTTATACGCATTTATACGCATTTATACGAACGCAATGAACGCAGGCAATCATAACCAACCGTGTAACTCACTTGTTGTGTAAATTGCAGCTTTTGAGTAATCGCTTATCTTGGAATCACGTGAATTCAGTGAAATATTTGAAGCAACTCCTCCACATTTGTTGTCGACAAAGTGAAATACGGTGAAAGAGAATTTTCAACTGAAATTTGACTGTAACAGCTTGCACTCGATGCTCAAAAAGTACTTTGTGCAAAAAGTACCATGTACTTTGTGCTCCAAAAAGTCTAAATGCACCCCTGGTGCACTAGCTGCTGCATTTTTCTCGATAATTTCAAGAAAAACGAAGAACTGAGTGCACTAGAAAGGGTGTATTTGCAAAATTCAAGCACAAAGTATATAGTTTGTGGCCGATTTTGATTTTCAGTCGATTTTAACTGACAAGGGAAGGATGATTGGGTTTCGTCGGCTTTTCCGATCAGATATATGTTGTAGGCGAAAAGGTTTCAAACCATATCGGCTAGCGGAAGAGGCTTGAAACCTTTTCAGCAATGAAAGGTGCAGCAATGAAAGGTGCAGCAATGAAAGGTGCAGCAATGAAAGGTGCAGCAATGGAAGGTGCAGCAATGGAAAGGGCAGCAATGGAAGGTGCAGCAATGGAAAGGGCAGCAATGGAAAGGGTAGCAATGGAAAGGGCAGCAATGGAAGGTGCAGCAATGAAAGGTTACATTCTGCAGCTAATTTTTGCATCATTGGAATGAGCGTCAAATTCTGCATCGAATGTCGTAGTCGATTATGAATGAAATTTTTTGGCAAATCTTTCTAGGCAATTCTAGCAGAGCAACCCTTTAATGTATGAGGACAATATTAAGTCATTTTGTAGCGAATTAAATTCTGCGTCGATTGGTACCAAATTTGTGAGTTTAGGTTAAAAATTGCCGGCGCTATAACGTTTGATTCAAAAGCGGCGCGACCCCCGTAGCCGATTATGAATGAGTGGGTCTAGGTCTAGATCTAAGTCTAGGTCTAAGTCTAGGTCAAGTCTAGGTCCAGGTCTAGGTCTAGGTCTAGGTCCAGGTCTAGGTCTAGGTCTAGGTCTAGGTCTAGGTCTAAGTCAAGGTCTAGGTCCAGGTCTAGGTCTAGGTCTAGGTCTAGGTCCAGGTCTAGGTCTAGGTCCAGGTCCAGGTCTAGGTCTAGGTCTAGGTCTAGGTCCAGGTCTAGGTCTAGGTCCAGGTCCAGGTCCAGGTCTAGGTCTAGGAGCGTCCAACCATCAAGTATTTAGTATCATTCAACGCAGAATCATTGATAATTATGTTAAATTTTTTAAATTAGCATGATTTGATAAAGAGAAAAAAATTAGAGCAAAAAAAACTGTTTTTTCAAGAGAAAACTTTGAAGCCCCATAACTTTTTTTCTTTTTCTCCAATATTTCTAATTTAAAAAATTTAACATAGTTATTAATGATTCTGCGTTGAATGATACTAAATACTTGATGGTTGGACGCTTCTAAACCCACTCATTCATAATCGGCTATCATTGGAAAAGGTCACGAGACCCAATCAACCTTCCCTTGCCGGCTGAAAATCAAAATTGGCTACAAAATATAGATTAAAATATAGATATATATATATATAAAGTACATTTCAAAGTGCAAAAGAACATGTCTTTGAAAGTTTTTTTTTTATTTTATTAAAACAAAACAATTCTACAGGGTAACCGCGAATTACAGCGAAAACTTTTTGAAAAAGTAGCTGGGAAATGTCTAATTTATTTCAAAAGTGTCAAGTGTTATATAAAGAATTGTAGCCCTGAATCTTGGCTATATTTTCATACCAAACACTTCCCCATTGGACTTATACAACTCATTTCACAAGCGCTTGAATGAATGCTAGTCGATTTTTCTTTAGCGAATTTGTCATTTGTTATTCGAGTCTCATTCAAGCGCTTGTGAAATGAGTTGTATAAGTCCAATCGGGAAGTTTTTGGTATAGAAATATAGCCAAGATTCAGAGCTACAATTCTCTATATAACACTTGCCACTTTTGAAATAAATTAGACATTTCCCAGCTAGTTTTCGAAAAAGTTGTCTCTATAATGTCGCTAGTCACTCTTTAGAAAGCTTTAAGGAAATATCGAATCACGAGTGATGAATCGATCGGATTTCTTTCTTTTTCAATTCAAATAGGTCTTTGTTGTTTGGAATGGAATCGAAAAAAAGAAGAGGAAAAGTGCGAAAAGGAATGTTTTTCCACGACTTTTGTGTACAGAAAAAAAATTCTCAAATTTACGCTTTTCCCATTGAAAATAGTTTTGATTATGAATTTTTGCGGGAATTTCGGACGAAACTTTTAAATGAAATGGGTAAAGTGTTGGGTTTGAATGAGCTTTTGGGAAAGGGATTTGAAAGATTGATTTGGAATTGATTCATTTGAAAGATTGATTTGGACAGCTAACAGCTTACAGTTAACAGCTTACAGCTCACAGCTCACAGCTTACAGCTCACAGCTTACAGCTCACAGCTTACAGCTCACAGCTTACAGCTCACAGCTTACAGCTCACAGCTTACAGCTCACAGCTTACAGCTTACATTGATTTGGAATTGATTGATTTGGACAGCTTACAGCTCACAGCTTACAGCTCACAGCTTACAGCTCACAGCTTACAGCTCACAGCTTACAGCTCACAGCTTACAGCTCACAGCTTACAGCTTACATTGATTTGGAATTGATTGATTTGGACAGCTAACAGCTTACAGTTAACAGCTTACAGCTAACAGCTTACAGCTCACAGCTAACAGCTCATAGCTTACAGCTTACAGCTTACATTGATTTGGAATAGATTGATTTGAAAGTGATTGATTTGAAAGTGATTGATTTGGAATAGATTGATTTGAAAGATGGATTTGAAATTGAAATTTTAACACTGTTGGCGTAGGTTTGAAATCTGACGCATCCATAAGAGATCCCGTTTTCTTGGAAAAGAGAAAAAGAAACGAAACTAGTTCCATTGAAGAAAAGGATTTCAATGTAAACAATGTAATCAATGTGTCAATAAGCAATAAAAAACCTTTAAAATCGTGAAATTTCAGCAGAATCGTGAAATCGTAAAATGGAATCGATTGAAAACGAGAGATCAATAATATCAAACAATTGGTAGAGTTCAAATTGGTAGAGGTAAAATTGAATGAGTTGAAAAGGGGATCGGTGTGGATGACATGATAGATGATGACAGTCTCATTTTGGATTGAAAAGGGAGAAGGGGAAAGGTAGGGAACCTCATTTTTCTGCCCTTGAGCCTCTTCACCCAACCCATCGCTGGTCAGCTGAACTTTTTAGCCACATAACTTCTTTTGTTAAAGTTCCGTGGCATTGAGAAGACTTGGGAATTTCAAAAGCGATGCTAGATGAGATGAGAAAGATGAGAAAAGAGAATCAGCTTCAGCTAAAAGTCAGCTTCAGCTAAAAGATCAGCTAAAATTGTCAGCTGTCAGCTGTCAGCTAAAAGCTAATGTCAGCTGATTACTTTTTATCTAACAATAAGATATTCAAGGCTTTAGTGGATGTACTTTATGCTTAAGAGACTTAGACTTAGATCTTTTCTGGTGCACTCCTTGATTTCTCATCCGAGTTGAAGCCCCGTTCCTTATGCTTCCTTCTGATACAATTCCCGAACTGGAAAGAATCCTGCCAGTTACGGAATGACTCCAAACTGGAAAGAGTCTTGCCAGTCTTGCCAGTTGAGAGTTAGGGAATTCACAGAGAACCTTAAGCTTAAACAATTCACAGACCTTAAGCTTAAGTCACAGACCTTAAGCTTAGGCAATTAAAATTTAGACCTTATCTTTAGACCTTAACTTTAGACCTTAACAACTTAGATCAGCATCCAGCACCAGCATCAGACCAGAGCTTCATCCAGCAGGCTCACAATCAGCTTTTTACCCAAATTCAGTCACTTCAAAAGCTATTTTCTTCTAAAGCTGATTCAAATTGATCCCTCTAAACCAGTTGATCGTTTTAAAACACGAAAATCTATGTTCTAGAAATGATTTTCTGGTTTAATTACTGTTATGCAAAAGAAAACCATAATACTAGCACAAAGTAGTCATTTGAAAGGATAAGAACTAGATAACTTTGACTGGGATCTCTCTTGAGACTATTAGATTGAGTACCAAGT